AATGTATAACTCCAGCTCTGACTCCAGCTCTGAGATCCCAGCTCGCTGAAAGCTGGTTTCTGGGGTTTTTTTTTAGCTTCTATATTTGTTAAAATGTTTCAAACGGCAGGCTCAGAGGCCTGCAAGGCAGGCGGGGAACGTTGGTTTCCTCCGTCACTGAAGCAAGCAAGCCTCATGTTCAATTTAAGCTGCCTGGCTGCTGGCCACCATCTTGGCTGGCAGTTAATTTGCATATCGCCCCTGATTAGCCAGTGGGAAGGGTAGCGGTTGTACACCAATTACCATGTTTCTCTTTTATTAGATAGGATGTCTTCAGTCTGGCTGGAGTGACTCAGTGGTTGAACCAAGACCTATGAACCAGGAGGTCACGGTTCAAGCATATGCCTCAGTTAAGGGCTCGATCCCCAGTGTGGCTGTGCAGGAGGCAGCCGATCAATGATTCCCTCTCATCATTGATGTTTCTCTCTTTCTCTCCGTCTTCCTTCCCCTCTGCAAAAAAAAGTCTTCCTTTTTGAAGTAAGCAACTGTTTCATACAGTGGGGCCTTGACTTAAAACTCCTGACTAACGAGTTTTTTGAGATACGAGCCATCTCTCGGCCGATTTTTTGCTTTGAGTTGCGAGCTAAAATTCGGGTTACAAGCCAGCTTCAGATACCCCACTGCTAGTTGGCGCAGTGAACGTCACAGTGAACGCCACAACATCAGCCCAGCATCACGTGTCTCACTTGTTCACTTTTTTATTTGACATACGAGTAATTTGAGTTACGAGCTCCGTCACGGAACGAATTAAACTTGTAAGTCAAGGCCCCACTGTACTCTCAAATTTTTTTGCTACCTATTTACCTTCCCTCATAGGAACGTGTCTTCATTTGCTCGGGCTGCTCCAACAGAACACCATAGACTGGGTGGCTTAAGCAACAGAAATTTATTTCTCATAGTTTTGTAGGCTGGGAAGTCCAAGATCAAGGCACCAGCAGATTCAGTACCAGGTGGAAGCCCAGTTCCTGGTTCATAGATTGTTATTTTCTCGCTGTGTTCTTGCATGGTGGAAGAAAAAGGCTGAGAGTAATGTGGGGGCCTCTTTTATAAGTGCACTAATCCCATTCAGGAAGGCCCCACCCTCCCAATCTAATCACCTCCCAAAGGCCACACCTCCTATCATCACAGGTGTTAAGATTTCAACATAAGAATTTTAGGGGGGAAACAAACATTCAGTCCATCACAGAAAGGTACCTTTTAAAAGTCTTTTCCATCCCATTTCTCATTTTTTTGTAGGCAGAGCACCATGCTCAACCACATTTCTCTCGTCAGTGCCTTCCATCTTTCTTCAAATTCTGTTGAAGACACTTTGTATAGGAATAGGCTTTTCACGAATAACCATGACACGAAGTTACATGTGACCTGAAGTAACAAATGGCTCTTCACATGCTCCCACCTTGGATTTTACTTATGAAATGTAGGACTTAGTGCCTCAGACCCAGCCCAGAGATCCGAAGGTACTTTCTGATTAAAGATAAAAACTTCAAAACTTAAAAATGAAATTAAAGTTAAACACTGAATTTAAAAATGTGGTCTCCAATCTCACTAGGAGGGGAAGTTGGGTCCGTCCACTCTTCTTGCTACTTGTTGGTTCTGTTATTACTGTTTTGCTCCCCTTCCTGGTAGGAGTTCCCATGGTTTCTCTGGAGTTTTTTTCCACCGGAATGTTGATATTATCACCCGTGGTTTATAGTGAAGGTTCGGTTCCTTCTTCGCTGGTACTAGTTCAGTTCGGTGGATTTATTCACACTGTAAGGGTGGTTTTCCAAGGTCACTGTTAAAGAATTCCTCAGAGGCCTCACGGGAGACAGGGCTATGCTCCAGGCTCTGCTACTGCCAGGGCCAGAGTGGCTGGGCCTTATCATTTATGACCTCAGTTCTTATTTGGCCCAGAAGGCCATTCGCTTATTCTGCAGATAGTGGCTACTCAGTGCCTGGAATGTTGCTGCCAAACTTGGGAACTGAGGAAAATGAAGAGTTGAATTGGAGGCTGCAAATAATGTTGGGACAGTAAGCTGGAGACAGGCCACAGCTGGAGAATGAGGTGGAGGTAGTCAGAGGTGTGCGTCTCATGGGGCAGTGCCTCCCAACCCTCTGAGGCGTGGGTTACTGGTGTGCCAAATAGAGACCTCTGAGCCCTTGGGCGGCTTTGTTTATTTATTCTAGTGGGCTATACAAGAAATAATGTTTTCTATAAGTACCTCGGGGTTTCAAAGGGGAAGAAGGTCATTGCAGGATGGTAAGAAGAGCAGCTGGCCTGCCCTATAGAGAGCTCAAAAGGTTATCTCTGATAACCTCTTATTATGGGCAAGGCTCCTAATTTAAATTTTTCTAGGCAGTTAAGGGTGTGTGTGTGTGGAGGGGAGGGGAAGGGACACAGAACGCAGAAGCCTCTCTTGAGTCTGAAAGGTCTCAATTGCCTTGAGCTGTAAATATCTTACATACCTCAGAGGCGCATCTACAGTCGTCACAAAAGATTTCTAAAATACAGGGTGTCCTCCAAAAGTGTATAAACACTTTAACAGCTGATAGCTCAGTTTTGAAAATGAAATGCATTTTAATAGCCCTAGCTGGTTGGCTCAGTGGATAGCGTCGGCCTGTGGACTGAAGGGGCCCGGGTTCGATTCTGGGCCAGGGCACATGCCCGGGTTGCGGGCTCCATGCCCAGTAGGGGGCGTGCAGGAGGTGGCCGATCCATGATTCCCTCTCATCATGGATGTTCCTCTCTCCCCCCCTCCCCCCTCCGTATGCTATGAAGAACAGGAATGAGGTCTTAGCTGGTTTGGCTCAGTGGAAAGAGCATCAGCCTGTGGACTGAAGGGTCCCAGGTTTGTTTCCAGTCAAGGGCACATGTCCAGTAGGGAGCATGCAGGAGGCAGCTGATCACTGATTCTCGCTCACCATTGATATGTTTCTATCTCTCTCCCTCACCCTTCCTCTCTGAATTCAATAAAGAAATATATTTTAAAAAAAGACATGTATTTTAATATATGCTACCTTTATAATTATTCAAAGTGTGTGTATACATATTTTTGGGACACACTCTGGATTAAGGATCCAGAGTCACGAAGGAGCTCGAAGGACCCTTTTATGACACTCATTTTCTATTTCCAATGTGGGCATCTTGATCTCTCAAACAGACTGAACGGGGCCTTGTAATTCATTTAAAAAAAGACATGTATTTTAATATATGCTACCTTTATAATTATTCAAAGTGTGTGTATACATATTTTTGGGACACACTCTGGATTAAGGATCCAGAGTCACGAAGGAGCTCGAAGGACCCTTTTATGACACTCATTTTCTATTTCCAATGTGGGCATCTTGATCTCTCAAACAGACTGAACGGGGCCTTGTAATTCATTCTTCATTTCTTCAAAGCATTGGAAATGGTGTTCCATCAATGCAGGAAGCGGGAGGGAATGGATAAACAGGTTCTTTCTGGGTATTTACACCATGTGCCTGGGTATTCAACAGAAGTTTTGGCTGTGCCCAGCCTAATAGCATTGAAAGAAATGGCCTAAACTGAATTTTAGTAAGCACATATTAAAATGATGGAATTGTGAGAGGGTGTTAAAACCTAAATTTTGTTTCTAGTATATATTCACACTACAGGCCCAGTGCATGAAATCGTACACTGGTAGGGTCCCTAGCGGCTGCCAGCTGCTGGCTGGGTACTCCCGCCCTTCCCCAGCCCAGCCCCACCCCCTGGTTGAACTCCTGGATGACCTCCTGGTTGTCAAGGGGATAATTTGCATACTACGCTTTTATTATATAGGATATTGATTTCAGAGAGGAAGGGAGAGAGAGATAGAAACAGCAATGATGAGAGGTAACCGTAGATTGGCTGCCTCTTCCACGCCCCATACTGGGATGAAGTCTGTAACCTGGGCACCTACCCTGATTGGGAATCAAACCATGACCTCTTGATTCATAGGTCAACGCTCAATCACTGAGTTACACTGGCCAGGCTTGTTTCTTCTTCTGATCGTAGGTTTGTGATGCACTTATTCAGAAATGAAATTTTCCTGTTTAATCGATCCTTTATAGCTCATCTCATCTCCACTTCGATTTGGTTTCAGAAACAAATCTTAACTTAATAAAGCTCTTAATTCTAGAGATTCCAGTACTAATCCCGACTATGAAAGAGGCTTTTGTGCTTTATGTTCCAAGCTACCTCTGACACAGAGAGGTCTTATTATTCTCCTTCTCTGATATTTGATTTAAATCTGCCTATTGAGAAACCATTTCAGTGGGAGAAAAAACCCGGAACTGCGGGTTTCATATTCTATTACATCACGCCCGGGGTTCTGTATTGAATTGCTTATTTTGGGTGAAGTATGGTAGCTGAACATTATGTGACTTCCCTCTCCCTGGGGTTCTTGTAAAAAAAGAAATGCCAAGCATCTCAGTCCATGTAGAGGAAGACATTAAACAAAGGCTCTAGTGGGTGACTTTTCACCTCAAAATGCTTGGCTCAGCCAGAAACCTCTTCTCTATGGCAGGAGGTCCCTTAATCCAAAAAGTCAGGTAAGTGATATAGACAAAATTTGCATTTTAATTTTTTAACTGAAACACGTAAGTGTAATTATTTCCCCCCAATTTTAAATTTAGAAGCAGTTTTTTTTTTTTTTAAATGGGTCCTCTGGTTGGTATTAGATGCCATCTGTCTCAAAATGACTCACCCACAATTTCTAATTCTGGCTTCTGTAGATTAAGAATTTAGACACGCGAGCGTTATTCCCTGACGTCACCCAGCCCTGCCCAACAGTGACCACAGTAATAGCTTGGGAAGTCCTCGCCGTTCACTGGTTCTCGGTCAGTCTTTCCTACGGGAGCCAAGACTGACTCAGGCCCACAGAAATGTCGCGTGGGAGCAGTTCCTGTTTATTTGACTTGGGTGGAACCACAATGCACAGAACAGGTGCAGCCTGAAAGGTCTGAGAGAAGACAGGTGCACCGTGCAGGTGAATGTAGGCAGGAGCAGGATAAGGGGCAGTGTCCGGAGGACCTCCCTAGGGAGGCAGACATCTCTTGTGGGGCAATGGCCTTCTGGGCTGTGCCGTGGGGAGCGTCCCTCCAACACATCAGCCCAGGTGTGGGGGTTCGGCCCACCTGCCCTCTCCCGGGCAGCACTGGGAGGATCCGGGGGAGTTCTAGGCTCACCCCCGCAATCCAGGGGAGATCCAGAACTCAGAGACCATTCATGTGGAGAGAGGTCTCCTCCTGCAAGTGGGGGCCAGAGGCACTGTCAGTGCAGCCAGAGTGCGGGATCAGGTCGGCGCCGGGGACACGGTTAGTGGCCGAGGGCGGCCAGAAGCCATCCCTTTCCTCGTTCTGATCCTGCGTGCGCCCATCTGAACCGCTGCTTCGGGGCGGCGCCGGGTCAAGAAGTGACTGCGGTCTACCTGGCTCTTGGCCCCTGATGTCCAGGC